CAAAGATATACTGAAATAACTACAACCAACTCCGCTCTACTAGCTATGTGCGTAGTAAGCCAACAATACACCCCACTCAACAACATTAACAACAAGCCAGTTTACCTGGAAGGGTATGGTGCCTCCGATTATTAGCGCGGTCAGTTCTCCAGGCGCTAGCTGGAAGGTAACGGTACCTTTGATTCTAAGCGCGGGGTATAACACCAACAATCACAGCACATCAAGGCATAACCAACATGTATAATGCATATACATAAACTATCAAGACACCAGCAATGTGTTAAAGTATATGAACACATGACTATCTCCTTCCAAGCAAATATACATATATCTAATGTATCTAGCACTTCATCACATACGATGTTCAATTAATCGATGGTAAAATGCATACCCGACAATTCTACACAACCGTGTCATCCTCCACTGATGACCAAGGACAAAACCTCTAGATGCATATAGTTAGTACATCTATTAAAAGACTCAAATATCATGAATCACAAACCCAACAACAGTATTAACATGGTAGTTAAAGATACAACTTCTACATGTGTGTTCAACACTCAAGATACAACAATCCAATTTAAAAAAAAAAACTTATTTCGAAAACACTTCCCTCATTTTCATAAAAACGATTCCATTTCCTTTTTGTTATCACAAAACCAACTCCACTAATCTTGTTTCCATAAAATCAACTCCAAAGCCATGGTTAATCCCTTAGGCATTAACACCCTTACCACACTCATTTTGACAAAAGAGATTTACACACAATGGTCAACAAACCCCCATTTTAATTTACCCAACCAAAATATAATTTAGGGCTTTTCTTCATTTAACTACAACATGCTAATTTATATTTTAATTAGCCAAGACAACAATCAATGAAGCCAAAACCGTCCTCCACACAACCAACCCTAGGTTTATTTTATGATTTTCAAACAAATCCAACATGATACAATTTTCATGCAATACAAAAATTACCACATGTCTATCTATAGACGGAGTATTGAAAAAAGAATAAGGAGAATCCCTACCTCAAATGGAGAACTCAAATAGAGAAGATGACCCAAAATCAAAGTGCTTCAAATCCCAAATTTCTTGGATCACGACGAAGCCCTCGACGATCAACACAGTTCTTACAAAGGCCCAAGGTGAGGAAAACACTCTAGATAGATCAATCCTAAGAGAGAAGTTATGTTTTAGAGTGAGGTGCTCTCCAATGGCTTTTTCGGAAAAGTAAGAGAGAGAAAGAAAATCAAAAAGTGATTTCACGGACTGATATAAAAACAGGTCCGCTCGAGCGTACAACACCCCGCTCAAGCGTCAGACACAGGTTCACGCTCGAGCGTCCAAAGATCCGCTCGAGCGCCGGATGCACTCTCCCAGAATTTTCTGCAGACGTCCAAAATGCTGAGAGAAGGAAATTCACGCTCGAGCGTCCAAACTGCCGCTCGAGCGAAAAGGCAACAACAAAAACCCGCTCGAGCGTCAAATCGCCGCTCGAGCGTAGAGACCAAAACCTGGGCAAAAATTCTAAGTTTTAAAACACAGTCAACTTATTCCCAACTTGCCCAACACAACCCAAAACTCTAACACAAAGAGTAAGGGATAGAAATGAGGATAAGACAACAACGAATCTACGGAACCGAGTCCGGATTACAGTTAAACAATAACAGGGAATACCGGGATCGCTATAACCTTTTATTGTCTTTTTTTTTTTTTTTTTGGGTGGGGGGTGGGGGTAAAAATAAAAAATAAAAAAAAAATGTTGAAATGGAATTGTAATGAAGTGTACCAATATGGGCACTAATTATTAACTTTCATTTATAAAAGAACTTTTAAAAAAATAAAATTAAAGAAAAGAAAACAAATTACAATTTTTACATCTTATAAGGACAAGAAGGACAATTACACCGCAAAAAGCTATTTTACAACTTATTCAACCAAACACTACTCTGCTACTTAAATTCATAATCCCATAGTTATGCTAAAAAGGTTAATAGCTTTTGTTTAAAGTAAAATTTATAATCTGTTAAATTATAATTTATAATCACTTGCTCACAGCTATACCAAATAGGAGCAAATACCTATTTAGAAAATTATGGGGGATATGTCTGGTTTTCATATTTTTTTCATTAAAAAAGTTAAATTATAAATACATCCTAGATTTCCTTAAAATATAAATTATCATGTGTGATTTTAGAAATCACAAATACCTATTGTCATAAATTTTTATTTAATAGAATTAACAGAAAAAGTGAACTTTTTAAATACTCTTCTATAAAATAATAAAATTACATTAATTATTAATTGAAATATATTTTTGTCATTATTAAAAACTGTTAATTGATTTAATAATTTATTAATAAAATTGGTTATTTGTCATGTAATTAGAAACTTGAAGAGGTAGGATATAATTTCTAGAACCATAAGGGGTAATTCATATTTTAAGTAAATCTCAGAGAGTGTATTTATAATTTATCCTTAAAAAAAATGTAATTTACATAGAGAGAACTACATATAGGTGGGAGAAGGGAAAAAAAAATTTACCAATACGTGGAAGAGTGCAAGTGACATTTGTACCTGTACAACCTTTCATTTGCACTCCACTACAGACACACTTGCACCCCACATGTGTTCGTATTTTTTTTTTTCTTCTCCCACCTACTTGTAACTTCCTTATTTACATATAAGGTAAATGATTCAAACCTCCCTAACGTTTGAGAAAAATCAACAAATTTTATAGTTTGGATATAATTATACTGACTTTTCTTTTCGTAAGATTAAATGAACCGAAACTAATGCAGATTACAAAAATACAAAAAATAAACAACATAAATATACATTTTTGTGTAAAAGAAATGACAACATTATTTGTTCATCCATATAACTAACAAAGTATTGATGAAAAGTGGGCAAAATTGTTATATAAATTAAAATCATAAAAGAGCTCAATATAATTATGTCAAAATTATGAAGTTTACCCCGTTTGGGAATAGCCTATTTAGTTGGCCATTTGGCTTTCAACAGTTCTACATCCACACAATTTCCTTCCCTACAATTCCCATAAATGAGGTGGCAATCAAAATTTTAAAAGTTGACCCACACACCAATTAGTATAGAACTTGCATTATGTCTTGTCACCTCATTTGTGAGGATTATAGGGGAGGGAAATTATGTGGATGTGTAAAAAAATAAAGGGAGTAATGTAATGATGTGTTTTGTTTTATTGGAATGGACTATTTTAGCTCAAATCCCATAATATTTACCTTAGCTATTCATCTCTCATGTGATTTTTTCACACTATTTTCTAAATAAGATATATCATATATATATATATATAATTCTTATTACAGCAGTGCGACATGCACACAATTTCTTTCCCTCATAATCTTCTTAATGAGGTGATAAGACAATGCATTTAAGGAAAGTTTTGAAGGAATATTTGAGCGTGAGTCAACTTTTCAAATTTTACTTGTCACGCGTCATTTGAGGGTTTGGGGGGAAAATTTTTGTAGATGAATAATTTTCTTCTTATTATATAAAAATACAAATAGTAGGTAAAATAAATTTAATGGTAAATAGTATTTTTCATTAAAATTTGATATTTTGTGATAGACGGACCAAGTTATTATAGAAAGGGAGATTATATCGTTTAAAGCATCTACAGTGGGTTTGCTAACCCACTAGATAGTGTCATAAGATATATAATTTTGTACAATTAGCAAACCTTGTTGCTAGTTGTATTATTATTTAAGGTTGATGTTACATGTGGAGAGCATACTAATTCACCTTTAAGTGGTCCCCATCAGCCAGAGCCAACTAGAAGGTGTTCAAGATTGAAACAAGAGAAAAATTCATTTTTACCCCTATACTTTGTCACGATTTTCAATTACACCCTTAGACTTTTATTATTTTCAATTTTACCCCCATACTGTGTAAATTCCTATCAATTTTACCCCTGCCATCTATTTTCGTTAAGGAAATGGACGAAATCGGTGACGTGACCCCCTATACTTTTGGATGGAAGGAATATACAATGGTTTGGCTAACCACAATCAATTAGATAGATTAGGGTTGCTTAGAACTTCCCAAATCGCAATAAGGGTTTTTAATTTGCTATGAAAATTCTGAAATCAAAGTTAAGAGTCAACAACAATTGTGAAATCACATTGAAATCAAAGGTTGAATGATAGGTTTAGTGGTAAGAGAGAAGAATAATAGTGGAGGAAGAGTAACACCTATATATGGTATGTATTTTTGTATTTTTTTTAATGTTTTTTGAAGGTTTTTTTTGTTCTTGTTGGAAATTGCATGTGTTGATGTTAATATTATTTTAGAATAGTGAAATCTTTGTTTGTTTCTATGTGACATGGATTTTTTTTAATGAAATTTGTTTATGGTTTTAGTTTCAAAAGTTTTATTTTAAGAAATCTTTGTTTATGTTTGTTTCGATTTGAAATTGATGAACACATATTAAATCTTTGTTTTTTTGGCTGTTTCTATTTTACATGGATGACTACTTGTTTATTAGTTATTTATCTCTAGTGTAATGTAATAATATTTTATCATAGTGAGTTCCATTGAATAGTAATAATTTATATTTTGTAAATTGGGGTTAATTAAATTCTATCTTCTGTTGATAAATAGATGTAGGGTTGATGTTATTATTAAGTAGTAATTAACCTTGATTGTTAATTAGAATGTTATGTTATCCCATGCATGCACTTTGTTTCCTATTTTAGTCTCTTTGAGAATGATTTCCATCCAATCATTGGACTTTGTAATGTAATAGTATTTTATCATTGTGAGTTCCATTGAATAGTAGTTTTAATGACAAATTTCCATTGATAAATATCGAGGAAGGATTTGGATATTTTACCATCAAAATGCATCAGGGAGGTGTGGTTAGGTATATTCCATAGAGGGTTTACAATGGTGGTATGGTAAGTCATTTTGACTTTTGTCATTCAGATCAAATTTCCATTGTAGAGTTGTGTTGCATGGCTAAGGAATTAGGACATAGGCCAAGTAATAACTATTATAGTAAGGTTAATGGTTATGGTGGGATAGAGTTGCTAAAATCTAATACTGATGTATTGGTGTTGGACACATATGTGGATGAAAATAGAGTGATAGATATTTACATAGGACACAATTTGGATGATTATGTAAGTACACAAATGAGTCAAGTAGCCTCAAGTAAGGGTAAGGAGGTAGTTGTTAATGATCAACTAGAAGAAGATGAAGATAGTGATGCCTATGATCCTGATCAGTTAGACTCATCCTCTGATGAGGTTGGAAAATATAATGACAGTGACTATGAGCAAGGTGATGACGACGCTTTACATGATAAACATGTTGACAAAGATGTAGAATTTGGTAGTTTAGGAAGTAGTAAGGATCATATGGGTGATGTGCATGACAATGATGACCTACAAAGCATGGACAACTCATTTGATGAGCTAAGAAGACTTCATAGCTCCTCCGATGAAGATAATGACTATAGGAGGATTAAATACCCTATTTTTAGTGAGATTGACATGCATAATCCTATATTCTAACTTGGTATGGAGTTTAAAACAAATGTGTTGTTTAGGGATGCTGTAAAGGAATATACTATTAAGTAGGGCAAACAAATCACATTTAGTAAGAGCGGCAAATAGAGGTTAAGGTAGAGTGCAAACCTAGTTGTCCTTGGGTTTGCTATACTTCTTTTGTCAATAGTGAAGGGGTGTATATGATCAAAACTTTTGTAGATAAACACACATGCAACAGAACATTTGATGTGCCATGTGTGAGTAGTAGATGGATTGTGAATAGGTATTGGGAAAGGATTAAGTTAACCCTATCTTGCCAATTAAGTCATTGGCAAACACCATTACAACACTGCACAATGTCAAAATGACATGCAGAAAGTGAGGAGGGCAAAAAAGAAGGCTTTGACAATGATTGAGGGTAATGCAACTGAACAATTTGCCATGCTTTGGGCTTATATAGAAGAGATTAGAAGTACTAATCCTGGAATAGCAATATACATGAAGGTAAAAGAAGTTCCAAAAGTTCATGAAAGAGATGATCAAATGTCCAAGTTTAAGAGATTGTATTTGTGTTAAGGTCCATTGAAGAAGAGTTCCTTGAATACTTGTAGGCCAATCATTAGAATAGATGGTTGTCATTTGAAGGGGCCACATGGTGGAGTGTTGTTGACTGCAATGGAGACAGATACAAATAATTGTATATTCCCATTTGCCTATGCCATTATTGAGAAAGAGAAAAAGAAAACATGGTTGTGATTTCTGAATTTGTGGGGGCAAGATTTGAATATTATGAATTCCCCTTGTTACACTTTCATGAGTGACAAGCAAAAGGGCCTAATTGATGCAATTACTGAGCTCTTTCCAAATGCCTTACACAAATTCTGGATAAGGCATTTGTACAACAATTTTAAGGGTGAACATAAGGGTAAGGTATTGAAGGATTTGTTATAGAAGGCTGCCAGGGCAAGCACTATTGCTGTATTTACCAAAGTCATGGAAGAAATGAAAGGAGTTGATGAACAAGCATACAGTTTGTTGGCTAAAATACCACTAATCCATTGGAGCAGGAGTCACTTCCACAGTTTCCCAAGCGTGACATTTTGTTGAATAATCTTTGTGAGTGTTTTAATACAAGCGTATTACAAGCTAAGGATAAACCTGTGGTCACTATGTTGGGAAAAATAAGAGTTTTATTGATGGAAATAGTTCGAAAAAGAAATGAAGCAATGAAAGGTACAACAAAGGTGATATATGTCCTAAGATTCAGAATATTTTGAAAAAGGTAAAGGTAAGTGCAGCTGGCTAGATTCCTAGATGGAATGCGGGTTCCTAATTTGAAGTTGTTGGCCCATATGGTGAGAAATATAAGGTGGACTTGAAATAGTGAACTTGTGGATGTAGGAAATGGGATCTATCAGGCCTTCCTTGAGCCCATGTTGTGGCTGCTGCAAACTATATGGATGAAGAACCAAAAAAGTATGTGTATCATTACTATAAAGTTAAAACCTACCTAAGGATTTATGAGAACATGTTGAGTCTAATCAATAGTAGACAAGTATGGCCAACAACTGAATATGCTAAAGTGCTACTACCTGATGTGAAGAAGAGCTGGGAGGCCAAGACTAAATAAGAGGAAGGACACAAATGTACCAATTGATGCAACTGATTCAAGTAAGCTGGGAAGGAAGGGAATTCAGATGACATGCAAGAATTGTGGCAAGTTGGGACACAACAAGAGGACATGTAAAGTCAAAGGCCAATTCACATACTTGAAAGATCCTATGAGTTCCACTCAAGTAATTCATATTTTTAATGCATTTTGTTAACTTACACACTGCTAACTTTGTTTTTTAGTTTTCGCATACCTAGTCTATGGGAAGCCAAAGTCAGACCCAGCCTTTAGGAAGCCAAGCTCAGAGTTAGCCTCAAGCGAGACAAGGTCATAGTCAGCCAGAAGTAATATATAATCAGAGACAGCTTAAAGGAAGCTATAGACACCCCATTTTTGACCACCCTTAAGACTTGGGCACCTCAGGTTAATCACTCAATGATGAAAGTTATGTTGTATAAATATTAGATTTCTTCAGCAAGAAGAGCTTCTAAATCCCAACCTTACACCCCATTTTTGACCAAAACTATTATAGACCTTAAAACCCTCTTTTTCAAAATATATTTTTTAAATGTTTCTACGATGTTTTGTGGCTCGCATTTTGTTTAAAATATTACACTTTTCGGTAAACCAAGTAAGAACAAAGTGAAAATAAATGAAAGGGAGGTGAAATCTTTGAAATTTTTTTAAAACATCTTATTTATAGGTTTGGAGTTGAAGAAAATAGGAGGGAATGAAAGAAAACTAGTTAGAGAAGAGGTTGGGCATCAACCTGTTAAGAAATAAATAAGCAACCTTTACTAAAATAGGCATATCTCTTTGCATACTTATAATTTAGATGTGAGGCCACCTCCATTGGAAAGTAAATTTCTGGGGATTCAATTTAAACTTAAGAATGACCGAAAATCTAGTTCAGATGAGGGAGATATGCCCGTTTGAAGTTAGGTCTGGAAGTAAATTTTTGTCTGGCCGGCCACTAGTGGCTCGCTGCCCACTATTAGTGGCCAGCCAGCCACTTGTGTCAAAACCAAATATTTTTTGCCAGCTGCCTCCACAAATACATACACCACTCCAGCTGTCTCTATATGGATATTTCCAAGATATCAACCTATGTTTCTGTATATGCTTGACCTTCCCTCATGTTTTATGGTTACAAAAAATTCCAAAAGCTCCAAAACTTAAAATTCTCTCTCTATCTCTATCTTGCAACACACACACATTACCCAAACACTTCCTAAACCAATATTTGAGCTCTCCTTGCTGAAATTATTGAATCCAAATTTCAGCCTTTGAGAGTGAAAGACTTGTGGTTTGTGAAACAAAGTGTTACTTCTCTTCAAGAGGTATAATTTTGGGCATCTCTACACTAATTTTTCTTTATCTTTTCTTACTATTTTTGAACTGTTTTTGGACTATTTTTATGGGCTAAAGCTTGTGGTTTAAGGCTATTAAAAGTAGAGGGGTTAATCACCCTTCTTTGAACCTTTTCTCCTAAGCCTTTACACTTGTGTTTCCCATCATTTCCTCAACTTTTTTCCAACTTTTTGCCACTAATTTTCAGAGGTTTTCAGAGGCTAAAAATGGTATTTTGAAGTTCCAAAAATGGAGGGGTTAGCCTCCATTCCTTATGCTTGTTTACTAGCTTAATTTTCTCAATATTGTAGCTTACATTTTCAAGCCTTTCCATATGAATTTCAGTGTTGTTTTAGCCTATTTGAGGACTATTTTAGGTTGGTTATTTCATTTATGCTTTGTATAGCATGCTTGTAGTGTTATGGTCCTCATAGGTTTGGTGTTTTAGGCATTAGACACAAAACTATTTGAGTTGATAGCTTTTATATCAAGCTTTTCATACTTGTGTTCATCTCTAATCACTTTTGCAACCTCCCTCATTTCTTAACTTTTTACCTTCTTTGAGAGTTGTTTCAAACCAATTGTTTGTTTAAGCTTGGGATAGAGATTGTTGAGCTTAATGGTTTAATCTCTTCGGAGGTTCATTACCAACGGCATGACATCTCTCTCATGCCTAAACAACCCTTTGTTTGACACTTCTCCCCATTAGTGAACTTAATGCTCATTTTGAACCAAAATGACTAATGAATGGAAAGGTAATTAAAAGATGTGTTAAAATTGGAATAAAATGGAGCAAGATAATAAAATGGTTTAGGGTTTAATCGAAGGTTAATTGAACCCATTGAGTCTTGAAGCATTCCACACTAACTAGTGATGAAAATGGTTCAAGTTTCAACGTCAACCACTTCCCTTGATCAATATTATGATAAGGAGGAGGTTTGTCACGACCCAAACTCGATACCCAAAGGCTTAGCGTCGTAACAAGATAAAAATAAAATAATTTTAATAATTTTGTAGTCATAGCACAGGCGGATAAATTAAATAAATAAAAATAAAAATAATTAGGTACCAAATGTTTATTAAAAGGAAACAAATATAGTCATTTGGACTTTTATTTTATTCCAGGTGTCCAATTAGAAATATAGATAGTACAAAAAGAAAACACTGTGGTTTATCCCCCATCTTAATCCTGCTCAGTCTCATCACCTGAAAGGGGTAACAGCTATAAGCACATAGCAGAGTGAGAAATATTATATTGTGAGTATAGCGGCACAAAATAGCCATGGATAGTTATTTAAGCTAAAACATTAATATAATTTAAGTTGCATAAATAATTTATTTAAGTGGCATAAACTAAAATAAAAATTACGTAAATAACTATAATCACGGTACAAAACAGAACAAAACAGGGGTCACTGGAGTGACAATCAGAACAGGGTTCAATGGTTGCATGACAAACAGAGGACCACAAAGTGGTCAAACAGGGCCCAATGTTTATTTAAGTCTCCCCAGGCATGAGACTCCTGTGGTGGTACTTACAGAAAATAATTGTTTACAAAATCATCGCCAAATAATTTTTAAAAGTTAAACAGACATATCCATGGGTTTCAATTTAAGTAAATAAAGTTCAGAAAATAATCTACGTAATTGAAACATTGACGTAACCATAAAACATAAATTATATAAAATAAATTGTGGTGACTCAAAATATTCATAAAATATATTATGGTAACTCAAAACATATTTAAAACATATTATGGTGGCTCAAGGTATAATATAACTCACCTTAATATCGAATCTCCCCTTTTTTTCTTCCTTCTCGATTTCCGTTTCCCTTATCTTCGCTTACTAACTTTCTTTGTTTTTGTTTCGATTGCTAATGTTCACTTCACTATTTATACTCAAGCTAATTACGAGTGCGTCACCCACCCATTCCACATGGTGCCTTCATCAAATTGCCATCTTTTGATTAGCTCCCCTTAACCTCCACGTGGACAACTTATGGTCTACTAATTATCTCCCTTTTACCTCCATGTGGCCAACCTATGTTCTAGGTGCTAGC